TGTTACCCAGGCTGGAGTGCAATGGCGCGATCTCGGCTCACCGCAACCTCCTCCTCCTGGGTTCAGGCAATTCTCCTGCCTCAGCCTCCCGAGTAGCTGGGACTACAGGCACGTACCACTATGCCCAGCTAATTTTTTGTATTTTTAGTAGAGACGGGGTTTCACCATGTTGACCAGGATGGTCTCGATCTGTTGACCTCGTGATCCACCCGCCTCGGCCTCCCAAAGTGCTAGGATTACAGGCTTGAGCCACCGTGCCCGGCCTAATTTTTTTTAATTTTTTTTTTTGAGACGGAGTCTCACTCTCTCACCCAGGTTGGAGTACAATGGCACGCTCTCAGCTCATGCAACCTTCACCTCCCGGGTTCAAGCAGTTCTGCCTCAGCCTCCCAACTAGCTGGGATTATAGGTGTGCACCACCACACCTGGCTCATTTTTTTTTTTTTTTTTGTATTTTCAAGTACATGTTGAGTTTCACCATTTTGGTCAGGCTGGTCTCGAACCCCTAACCTCGTGATCCGCCCGCCTCAGCCTCCAAACTGCTGGGATTACAGGCGTGAGCCCCCGCGTCCAGCTAGTAATTTTTATATTTTTATTTTATTTTTGAGACAGAGCCTTGTTCTGTTGCCCAGGCTGGAGTGCTGTGGTGCCATCTCTGCTCACAGCAACCTCCACCTCCCGGGTTCAAAAGATTCTCTTGCCTCAACCTCCTAAGTAGCTGGTATTCCATCATGCTAGGCTAATTTTTGTATTTTTAGTAGGAACAGGGTTGCACCATGTTGGTCAGGCTGGTCTCGAGCTCCTGACCTCTTGATCCACCTACCTCGGCCTCCCAAAGTGCAGGGATTACCAGCATGAGCCACCAAAACTGGCCCAGCAAGCAGTGTTTAATAAAATTTACTTCATTTTCACAAACAGATCATGACTTTAGCTAAGCAGCCTCTCTCTGAACCTGTACTTCTCATCTCCAAAATAAAAAGACTGGATTAGAAGACCTTTACGTTTCACTCTACTAGGAAGGAAATTATGATTCTATGATTATTTTATCACAAAAACTACAATTCTGATTTTATCAAATTATAATTTTGATTATTATTGTTTATAGACTAAGTAGCTTCCTGGACTAAATAAAGCATCATTGGTGATGATGCTTCTAGTATACTGTACCTAAATAATCCAGTTCAAAAAAGTTCTAGGTTCTCTGATAGTTTCTGCAATAGAATTATTGCCATATCTACTGTTTCTATCTGCAAGACATCCATCTCTTTAATAATGCACTGTAATCCTATTGCAGCCAGAAAAATGGTAAGTAGTACCATCACACAGGTTCTTAAATCTAGATGCTAAGTTATTGTTCCTTTTACAAACTGATTAATTTCTTCTGTTATTACCATATAAACCCAGCCAGAAGAAACACAAGCTCCACTTTCAAACTGCTAATTTTTATATTAACATGAAAAATAATCATGGCAATGAAGTCATTTACTACTTATTCCTGATAGCTAAGCATAAACAATATATGCAGAAAAAACATTTCATTTCCTAAATTATGGTAAAATATATTAATTATGAAGGAAAGGTTTTCTGGTAAAGAGGATGAAATAGTAAGGGCTAATTGCAGCAGAAAGGCACTGATTGAGTTGGCTGCTGAGAAATGAAGAGGCCAGGCGTAATCCCAGCACTTTGGGAGGCTAAGCAGGACAGCTTCAGCGCAGCCTGGGCAACATAAGGAGACAACCGACAAAAAAAAAAAAAAAAAAAAATGCTGGCCATGGTGGCGTTTGCTAGTGGTCCCAGCTACTTCACATGCTGAGGCAGAGGAGGATTGCTTGAGCCCAGGGAGGTTGAGGCTGCAGTGAGTCTTGATCATGCCAGTAAACAAATGAGAAATGAAGAAAATCCTGTGTCAGTCAGATGAACCAGTTCGGGCTCTACCCTAGCTAGAACATGAACAGTTTATCTTCTCAAGCCATGTCTTTGTTTGTACATCCTCAAAATGAAGACAGTGAACTACATAGTTTCAAAGTTGCCTGATAAAATCATTCAAAAAGTTTTTTGAAAATTAAGAATACTCCCCACCCCCAGAGATTCTTCTAATATAGGTCTGAGGATGACACACACTTCTGAATTTTTAAGTTTTAAACAAGATTATCTATATCTTTTCATATATGATTAACATTAAGATAAACTCTTGAGATATATTTTTAGTTCTAGAATTCTACTGTATACAGAGTAATGCCCCTAGGAGGTGTTCATTAATAGCAAAATGACTTGGTAATAATCGAGAGACTATTATAAGGATCAATAGCTGCCAGGTAAGTATACACATGGCTATTTTGGTTATAGCTAATCAGTGAAATAATGGAAAAAACAACCCTCCAACCATCAACTGGCTAATAGAAGGGCTTAAAGTTTGGTTTTCAACATATTTAAAATCACCAATGCTCTTGCAATAAAAAAGAAAATGTATAGGGGGAGTTTAGGAGTAGAACTGCTTTTACACACTTTTTCAGTTTGCTTTAATATTTCAATATATTTCAAAAAGGGATTTTTATATGAGATATATATGTATATATATAAAATCTGCTATGAAGTACATCACTTCATTAAAAAAAGAAAAGATTTAGGAAAAAGATAATTTTAAAACTTAAATCCTCTGTAAGTTAATCACCTGAGTCTGGTTCCATTATGAGTTTTAGGGTTAAAAACATAGTTTTTAACTTATTTCTTTTCACTTTAAAGACCACTGTTTTTTAGCTTTAATTTTTATTTCTTAGTAATAATTGAAATATTCTGTGGTTTGAATTTTGGAAACCATATAATTATAATCCTATACTTACAGATTCACTTTAGGCCTTTACATACAAAAGTCTACTTTTTCACATTTCATTTTTCTGCTAGGTTACATTTTATAAACTCTGTAAATAGGAAACTACTCAATTACAAAAATCCTATATTGGTTTATTCACTATTAAACCATCTAAATAAGGCTTCTTTGAAATGAAAAAATTGGCAGTCAGAAAATATACTGGAAAGGAACCACGTAACAAAAACCTCCATTCTGTCAAGCTGTACTAGTTGGGCAAGAGGGACAAATGTGCGGAATAAAAAGGTTAACCCATCTATTTGGCATGTTGTTTTTCATTCAGCAGCATTAAATAAGTGGCAGCAGCATTGTAAGAAATTTCAGCTGACGCTTTCAAAGCCTTAGCACTTTAAAATGAGGATCAGTATTGGGTTAGGACCCGTAAGCTCTTATGAAGAAACACTCATATTGCCTCTTCCTAGGTTTAAACTATCACAAAGGAGGAAATTTCGAATCAAAGTGTTCATGCTTTGCCACCTGACAAGTCTCTGCTAGAAATCTGAACCTCTAACTGATCGCTGCATGGACTTGCCATTATGCTTGAGTTTATACAGCCCTCGAAGCAGCAGACCACCATCTTAATATTTTTCATGTATTCTGTATATATATAGCCAGAAGTTAAAACTTCACAGCACACTTCATTCTCATAAAAGTTATAAATTTCTTTCAGTAAAAGCTACTGCTTCTTAGTCTGGTTATTACAGCTAAAGACATCTCTTACTCCAACTAATTATACTAAGGGTCTGAATAATACCAGAAAAAAACCCACACAGTATTTTGAAGAAGTCTCTGTTTATACACTTCATTAAGAAGCCACATCTCAATGAAATACTCTATAAATATGAAAGGACCAGTGATAACATCACATAACTTGAGTATGAGAGTTTTCCTCATCTCATATTTTTAAGTGCTACAGATTATGAAGTAGCCTCCAAAACACAACTATTCACTTTTAAAAATCCTCCTGCTTTCAGAGCATAAAGGAAATATTTGATGGATCAAATATCACATTGCCAACTAATAGGTTTAGCGACTTGATGGAAAAGCACTAAAACAAGTTTCTACCAATTATACCTTGTCTATATAAAACAAAGTCAAAGCCTATTTACAAAGAACAAATACGTACTCTTAAACTAACAGCCAAACCATCCATGAATAATGACCAAAACAAAAAGCTGGATAAGAGCTTTGATAACCTGGATTCAGATTATGTCAACATCTTATTCTCAATGCAAATAATTATTTTCAAATGGAGATAATGACTGACGTATAACTTAGTCATAGGGAGTTAGTGAGACTGAGGACTCACATGCATAAAATTTTATCAAATTAAAAAATGGTGCACTGAGGACTCAAATAACCAAATATTTATCACATCCAAAGATTCTAGATATGTAGTGGTTTCACCAGAATAAAAAATAAGATTTAAATTATTTATTTTTTTCTACATAAAATTTTAGGCCCTCAGATTTCTTATTGCACAGGACATGATGAGGTGTAATTTGGACAGGTCACATTAGACTTATAAAACAAATGAAAAGGCAGGGATAGAAATGTTCTTGAAATTTCTCTGATACTGTGAATTATTCCCTTGGTAACTTCTAGAATGCCTTATTAAAGTGACAGTACCAGAGATGCCTAGCATATCTACAGAACTAAGTTCATAAGTCTAGCTGATAAAACTTTTTATTACCTTGAAAGTTAAGATAAACATTGAAAAAAATTTTTACTGTAGATATGCCCCATTTCAAGAAACTATGATATACCCAAAACCTCATGCTTACAAAACAAAGTAGGGAGTGACATAATATTACAAAAAAAGTTACTGTATAAAATAACTCACTTGAGCATTTGTTAAAAGATAATTTGGATCACAGAATTTTGATTAAAGCACTTTCCAGGAAATATTAGGTTGGTGCAAAAGTAATTGCAGTTTTTGGCCATTTTTAATGGCAAAAACAGTTACTTTTGCACCAACCTAATATCTAGCTCATAATTTGGGCTCACCTGTGTCTAGATTAAATATCTATAGGGAAAGAAGTAAAATGGGTGTGTGTAAGAAGAAAAAGCCAAAGCAAATAAGCAAAAATCATCATAATAGTACAGGTTAATAAATGAAGAAATCAAGAGACAGTTTCATTAATTAATATATTTTCTGCATTATAGTTAGCATATGTACTTTCTTCGTGTCACCTTATTCTCCGTTAAGTATTGATATTTTGTTATATTCAGACATGAGTACATTTCAACAGTCTTTGCAATAAATATCATAAAATAATAGATTCGCATAATAAATATTCTTTACAATAAAAAAGTTTAACAGACTTTTGTCTTAAAAATAGTCAGAATTCAACTTTGTGATTTATACATAAAATATACAAAAAGCACCACAATTTGTGGTTAAGGCAATGAAAACACAGAAGAGATTAGAATTACTCAGCTATTAACTAACCAGGGGGCCAAAAGGACCGTTAAGGAGCCAGGATCACTTTAGGCAGCAGAGTTCTGTGACACCTATAGACTGATCAGCTATAAATACCAACTTGAGTTATCCAAGTGCCCTCAATGACAACAAAAAATTGCTGAGAAGCATGGGGTGTAGAAGGAAGAGTGAAGATGGGCAAGGTACAACCAATATATCTCCAATGTGAAGATTTACATTGTCAAGAGAATCTAAAATTACATAGAAAGAAAGAAAAAATACAGTTGGCATCTCCAGAGTAAGATAACGCCAAAACTGAGGGGAAAGAACCTTGAAATACAAGAAGGACAGACAGGGCAGTGGTTAAAGGAAAATTTTTATGTTATGGCAAAAAATATATCCCCCATGCTACTTAGGGGGCCAAAGCTAAAAGAGAGCCCTAACTGGAGACAGATTTAATACATAGCTTATTTAAGCAATTAAATGGTTGCTTTTTAAAAAACCAATTTCCCTGCTCCCAAGGTACCCTAATCACCACAGCTCTAAGTCACTGTAGTCTGGGTGTGGGTGTATATGTTCATGTATACAACTTTAGAAAGTTGCTTGCAGAAGAAAAAGACTACACAGAAGCCCACTGGCTCTCAATACCCTCTCAAGTGGATGGCAGAGGCTCTGGTCCTAAGTGGAAGCCAGGTGCAGCTTCCCAGTTCACTCTTATTGAAGATCATCCATGAGGGAAGAGAAAAATCCATGAGTCAGACCTTGGGAACAGGGGAAGAGAAGGTGGGAAACAGGGAAAAATTCTAAAGAAAAGAAAACCAGTATCTAATAGGATTTTTTTTTTTAACAGCCACAACTTGAAAGCTAGAAGTTCAGGAGGTACAACCCACCTCCAAAAATCATGATGGTTTACCCTGACCCCGGGAGGGGCAGCTCTCCAGCTTACAATAGACAGTGTTGGAGTTCTTACATCGGCACCCTGGGCGATGGATCCAGTCATAACACCCCCTGCACAGCTTCAGGCATCCTTTAGCAGGAGGATAACAGAGTAAGCAAGGTAAAAATAGAGATATGGCTCCCATACACAGGTATCTAGAGCAGCAGTGTGACTGTGAACAGGAGCAAGGATTATCCGAATAGGAATCCCCTTCGTCGTCATTGGAGCAGTGATAGAAGATGCCCTTGACTAAGCACATGCAGGTTCCATATTCCACCATGCTCTCAGCAGAGCAAAGGCACTGCCGGTTACAGGCCAGACAGGATGGCAGGGTCCTGGGAGCCGTGCATTCTCCACACTTGCACTTCCCACACTGTTCACAAATGAACTTGTGCTGTGTCAGGTCCTCTTTCAAGGAACCCTTCAAGTCATCCACAATCAGCTGCTTGGGCTGGGTCCGGATTGCCCTTTCAGACCTATGACCAGGGACTGGTCTTGTTGGTGGTGACCTTCCTAATAGTCCCTGTTCAGAAGATGCACTGCTGTTGCTCCCAGAGCTGGCTGCACTTCCAGTGCTGGTTGATCTGCTCAAAATGGGGCCCCTGGCATTATTTGGGAGTACTGCATGTCCCAGGTGGCTTGTGTGTCTTTGCTCGTAGTTATTATTCACATTAATTGGTATGATTTCATGAGTCCTTTCATGCTTTTCTTGTCTTGGTGCTATCCGAGGAGCAGGTCTTTTCACCACTGAAGGCCCTTCTGTATATTCATTGCTGCCTCTTATGGCCTTGATCTGGTCTAAGGACAAAATAGCAGCAGGCTGAATCTCTCTCTCATAGTCTAATCTCTGACGGCTATCCAAAGGAGGCTGCTGGATCACAACTAATGAACTGCCACTGCCATGTTGATTTTGGGGATCCATGTGTAGTGATCTCGAGTTCTGGCAATCAGTGGAAACCTGGCTTGCATCTGAAATCCTAAAAGAAAACCAAAGATGAAAAAAAAAACAGTGAAAATAAATGACAGAAAGCATTTTTTGGGGTGGGGGTGGGGGGAATCCTGTCAAGTCACAAATTGCCTAAACTGCCTAGTAATGACCTTCTTCATCAGTGGATTACATGATGCTGGGGTCCTGGCCAGAGTCCAATTCCAGGAGAGGCTGGGGAGCACATCATAGAGGAAGACTTTAAGCAAGAGACCTCATGCCATAAACATTACAAGGTTTTCCAACTTTTAAGAAGCAGAATCAAGAGGAAGTAATGCCTTCCTGTTTATGAATCTAGTAATTAAAATGGAGCATGCCTTCACAGGGAATACTGAGTATAAGCAGTAGAGTAACTCTCATCTAAAGAAAGCTCAGTTATCACTTCATAGGTGGTTTCCATAAAGGAAAATATCTATCTTTTAAGAAATTGAGAATGGCTTTGGTGCTACGGCCTTTTTGCTGTGTGCTGTCACAAGCATTAGATTAATGATGAAAAAAAATTAAGACTCTAAAATAAAATGAAATCTCAAAATAAGAGGTAATTTTCTATATAAATCAGAATTTTAAAGCTACCTTATATGACATGCAAAAAATAAATGTATCGGGTCTACAACGATTCTTGGTGTTTTGTAGCTACAAACACACACACAAGACTCAATGTATAGTCCTGTGAATGTTATAACAGTATTCACATTTGAAATCCTGAGAGGATTTTTTTTTAAGCTTAAGGGCTCACTCACAAAACAAGATAACTTTTATGCACAAATAAGTGTGAGGCCTTTAACGCAGTGTAGGGAAATCCTGGCTGTTTTAATTATCTGTATTTCCTCTCATTTAAAAATCTATTTACATGACAGACCTTGATTTTCAAAAGCACTGCCAACTCTGAATCAATGTGCTTCTTGTAATAAAATCAGCACACTACTATCCAGATAAAAATAAGCAGTTGTATTTCCATACTAATAGTAAATCATTTCTAATTTGTAATGTGTTCTTCGCAAACTACCAAAGATAAAAAAAGTTTCTGCTTTCAGTGGTGAACTAGAGTATTTTTCACACAAATTCCTACTAAAGTCTACAGAGTCCACCCAATTCAAGAATGAAAAGATATCCATTCTCCATTACCACCCTGAGACAAAAAAAAACATGGTTTAAGGAATAACACAGAAAGAAGTCCATTTTCTGTATTTCCTAAACCAACGTCTCTAAACTATGCCTTATATGTTAACTTCTTGGAGTTCCGCTTGTTTTCACAACTCAACTCTCCAAGTTTCTCTAGTTTATTCTACCTTCTCTGTGCATGAGCAGTAACACTCTAATAACCTGCGGGGATTTCGTCTCTGAGTCCTTAACACCGAACCCTGACTCTAGCACAATTATTCCTCCTCTTCAAGAACTTCTTAACTCAGTGCTTTGAAAGCAAAAGGTACCTAAAAGTACTAAGCCAGATTCCACACGAAACGCAAAACGGTAGAGGATTTGAATAGTGTAACCCAAAACGCCAGGCACAACTTTAATTTGCATTTCCAATGATAGTTGTAACGAACTTCATACTGCTGGGAAATGAAGCCGCCAGACAAAAAAATTAAAAGCAAAGAAAATCCGCCACCTCCGAGCTGAAGAAAAGCCCATTTTCAAGCAGTGACAGTCTTGGACCAACCCCCGACACGCTCACACGCGCTCTGCACACTGCCTTCCCCAAGAAAACGCGAATGTAAGTAGAGTACCTTTTCGAACAATCCCATCACATCCTAATGATCACCGTGGATTTCCAACACACTTTTTGCGTGGCCCACCAAGGTTTGCTGACAAATCATTTAGAGCCTTCAGCGTCCACGCGGGCGCCCAAAGCAAGCCCACGGTCTGGATCATCCTAAGCAAGGATGTGTCTATACTTTAAAGGAAAAGCCGGGTTCACCTAGGGCCAGGGAGAAAGAACCCAGCGCAGGGATGGCCACATTGTAAGCTACGACGGTGGAGCTGCGCCCTCTGCAATCCGCACTGAATAAATAGTTGACGGAGAGGAAGGAAAGGGAAAAAGTTATGAATGAAAACAAGTTCTCTCTCCCTCTCTCCGGCAAGAGGAGGGGAGGAGGCTGAGATTAGCACAAACTCAGGAGGGCGGACTTCCCCACTTTTTTTTTTTTTTTTTTTTTTAGACGTAGTCTCACTTTGTCTCCCAGGCTGGAGTGCAGTGGCGCGATCTCGGCACACTACACCCTCTGCCTCCCGAGTTCAAGCGATTCTCCTGCCTCAGTCTGCCGAGTAGCTGGGAATACAGGCGCGCGCACCACGCCCGGCTAATTTTTATATTTTTGGTAGAGACGGGGTTTAGTCAAGTTGACCAGGCTGGTCTCGAACTCCTGACCTCAGGTGATCCGCCTCGGCCTCCCAAAATGATGGGATTACAGGCGTGAGACACCGCTCCCGGTCGACTTCCCCATTTTTAAAGTGGCAGTGCCCTCTCCCTCGCCTTTACACTGAGCTCAAAAGAAGAAGAAAGTTGCGGCTGGCTTTGGGACAGGCTAATCTATCGAGGGGTGACCGGTGAATTCCGGGGAATAGCTTCCCTACACACACACACACACACACACACACACACACACACAGCCTTTGCCAGTCCCATGCCTGAAGCACACTTCAACACAGAGGGCCCCCGGGGACACCCCAAGAGCCGCCTGGAATCCCTCTCGGGGGTGAAGGGCTCTCGGAGAGGACAATCCAGGCCACCGTGCCGCCGCTCAGGGTAACCGGGGTTCGGGGAGACCCTGTCTCGCTACACTCCGCCGCCGCGGACCGTCCCCCACCCAGCCACCCAACCTCGAGCGCTCCAGAAGCCTCGGCTCCCGGGGTGGGGGGGGGGGGGGCGGGTGGGGCCGCGCCGCGCAGGGTCGTCCCTCCTCTTTCCTCCTGTCCCCTCCCCTCCCGGAGTCCGGGCCAGGGCAGCCGCGCAGCCGAGTCCGCACCTGCCGCGCCGAGCAAGCCCCGCCTGCGCGCCTCCCGCCCCGCGGGCCGAGCGCGGCCGCCGCACACTCACCTAGGCCGAAGCGGTGGCTGGGGGCCAAGCCGTGCGACCCGGCCCAGGTCCCGGTGCGCGCGGCGGCGTACACGCGCCGCATCAACCGAGGCGGGGAGGGCGAGGCGGCATCGCCGGAGCTGCTGCGCCTCGGCCCGCGGCCTCCCCCGCCCCTGCCGCCACCGGGCAGGAGCGCTCCTCGCGGCCCCCTTCCGGCTGCGGAGGGCAGTTCTCCCGCGGCTCCGCGCGGCCCCGGCCGGACCTCTCAAGGCTGGCGCTCGCCGGGCGGCTCAGTAACATCCACCTCACGAGGTCTTCCGCAGTCCCTTTCTAAGAACCAGTTTTTACAAATCCTTTCGGGAAGGCTCTTCGAGTCTCAGAAAAACGAGCAGGGGAGTGGCGGAGAGTCGAGTGCGTGACGGGCTAGCTGACGGCACGGTGTGCTCAGAGTACGTCTCCGGTTCTGGTCGCTCCTCTCAGGGAACGAAGGAAGGGATGGCGGCTTCCTGACGAACGAAAAATCCACGTCACGGGCGTTCGAGACTCCGCGGCGTCCGGGTCAGGGCTCGAACCGTAGTCGACGGGCGGGTCACGGAGCCGCGCAAGCCCCGCGCGAGACCCTGGAGCACGCGCCTGCCAGGCAGAGGCCGCCGCGGCCGGGTAGGGGGAGGGGAATCTTTTTACCCGTGTTTTTAGGGGGGAGGGGTTAAGGGAGCGAGGTTTGGGGATCCTTCTCGGAGACAGGCGGGCGTCGTCCCGTTCCCCGCTCAGGCCCAGGCGCTTTGCCGATCTCACACGTAGGGCAAGTGGGGGCACAGCGTCCCCGGAAACTCCGGTCCTGGCAGGTCAGCCTCTCCGGGGCAGCGCTCACACCCAGTCCTCCGAGCCTGCAGTTCCACGTCCGAAATGCCTGCGACAGAGGATTAGACATAGAAGCTCGTGAATGTCCCTTTCTTCGAAGGGCTAGGACGCGGGGCGGGCCGCTGGCCAGCTCGCCCGCAGCCCGTTGCCATGTGCTCCCTGTTGCTGCTCCCAGTGATTGACAGGCCGGCGCACAGTCGGCGTGTCAGCCGCGAACCAAAGTAACATGCAGTCCTGCACGTTTTTGCCGAGGTGCTTTTGCCCCCTGGAATGCCTAGAAGTTCAAACAACGTTCAAGCAACGCCTCTGCGCGTTAGCAATCAATACACAGAGACGGGAAATTCAGGTTTTAAACCAATGCTTCTTTCGGGATTAGGTCACCAACAATGCCTAAACAAACACGCATTTGGTCCACACACCAAGTGCCAGCCCCTCTTCGTATAAAGGCATTAACGGCCCTGTGTTTCACACATTCGATCGTTTCAGACTTTCAACTTGCTACTGTTCGGTTAAGGAAAGGAAGGTGAAAGGGATCCTTTTTCTATTAGCGGTAGCATTTACTTTAAGAGCATTACTTTTAGCATGGGAATGCAACCGGTGTTCTGAAATGCAATGAATAATCTTAGCTCGAACGCGAGTTCAAAGCAATGTTCAGTTCCTTGCAGAAGTCAACATTTCTCACCTTATCTTTCCTAAAATGTCTACGGAAGGAAACGGTACTTACCTAATGCAAAGATTGGAAATTGCTTTTCAGGCACATTTACAGCGACTGTAGTTGTTCCTTATCCAGGGTAGGGAACTCTGCCTGCTGCTATCACTCTGCAAACCACTGCGTGCTTTACAGAGCGATCTCACTCCGGCTCCGCAGAATTTCAGCTCCTTGCCTCCACCTCCACCTCCACTCCGGGACACGCCTCCGGTGATATCATGTGTCAATCTCTCGGGCTGCCCGAAAACCTGGAACAGGATTTCCTTAAATTCGTTTCCTCTTTCGTTTATGTGTATCAACTTGGAAACGTTGCCCTTCAGACTCGTGTAATAAACATCCTCTTAAAACTTCGGGAGTGCCTCTACAAATTCTGCAAATGCAGTTTGTCATAGAGGAATACATTCGGATTTAGTTAGCAATCTTTAATTGTCGATCTCAATTAAAAGGATTTTTGAACTCTTTAAGTTGAATTAGAAAAGAATTGTTAGGAATAAAAGAAGAAAAAAGTTGTATGCCAAGCCATCACTTCTGAACAACTAGAGGGAAAATGTACATTGACACAAAAAGATGATTATATAATATTACAGTTCCTATATACAACACAGTTCAGAATATGTGAAATCTAAAGTTCAAAAGGTGGCATGTCTTGCTGCAAATGTAATATGAGGATATGTAATAATGGGGACATTTTCTGTTTTGGGTTTTTAAAAAAATAATTGCTATACCTGGCTTGTTATATGATTTCCCACAAATCAAGCACATGGAGAAGAAACCAAATTCTTTCCATTATGTAATATAGTTGTATAATTTTGCAAAAATACCAACCTGTATATTTTTAATTAGCTAAAAGTCAATTATAATAGAAAACATTTATCAAGAAGTTTTATAATTCTTAGTAATATCTGATGTGACTGGGAAAAAAACACTAAGTAGGAAACTTGCTTTCTTACAAACTACGGGATTTTAGACATTTGCTATCAAAATTGTGCCTTTCATACTGCAATGAGAATAACTATATGTGGAATTTAAGGTTCCATAGAAACTTTTAAAAGCCACCTAAAAACCAAACTTATAGTTAGTGGAAAGGAAATATTTTTTCGGGTACTGTGTATCAGGAGTAGCTTAAAGTCTGGCAAAACAAAGCAACAAAAACAAAACTCCAGAATCTAAGTCATACTTGAACATGAGTATCGAAATTTTTAGTTCAAAGCATTTTTAGTCTCCTTATTTACAATAGCAAGCACTTCTGTTGAAACTTGTAAATATATACATACATTACACACACACACACTTCCACATACACACGGGATTTTCAAATGTCTGAGCACATTCAAAAATTAAAGTTGTGTTTGGAATTCCACTAAAGAACACAGGGCATTGTTAAGGACATCAATAACAATAAAAAAGCATCACTAGAAAATTGCATAGAATAAGAAGCCAAAAAGCTTGATATTCACATAAAGCTACATATTCACTCTTAATATTATGAATGGTATTAAAATAGGCTATTTAAAAGCATAAAATTGATTGTATTGTATGTTCTTTTTTTAACTAGATCTCATTAGATTTTGGGATGTAATGAAATTTTACCAGTGATGGATATGTTTCTTGTGACTGTATTTGGAATAGACAAATCAAACACAGAATGTCATATCAGAGTATCTTACTTGGTTCTTCAAAACTGACTTCTTAGCTACTACCACAATTGTGGGCTGAGAGGTCAGTTCACCAATATGATAAAACCAGGAGAGGGAGCACTGAACATTCTACCTTCATAAATCCTACAAAATATATTTGAAAGATTTCTGTTGCAAATACACTCTAATCTATTTTAACTAGAGATGTATTACAATAAGTTTCATGAGATTAAGTATTTAAAAATTATAATAATAAATAAAATCCATGAGATTTTTATCTAAAACACCATTATCTGGGTCATGTTGTATTAAGAAATTAAATATGCTATAGAGAGTTGATCAATGACCCTTCACATCATTTAGCACTAAAATGCATTAATATATTTTTCTCTAAATATTACATTACAAATAAATGTAAGTATAGCCTTGTCACCTTAAATCTAAAAGACATTGAATGAAACCTTCTTCTCCTGATTGCCTACAACTATAAGAGTGTAGAAATTCTAAATTTTTAGCTTAAAGTATACACTGTTTTTTACTTAGTAAGTTTAATTACATTGTAACTTGACTAAAAATGGATAACTGGAGTATGATATTTTTCCAAAAAGGAAAAATAATGCAAAAATAAAAAATAATCTTATAATAATTTTTAGTTCATTAAGATATGTCTAAATAAGGAATGGAAAGTGAGCCCTGACTTGTTCTTAATTTTCATGTAAAAACAAGATTATCCATCTCTTGTGTTAATTTGATTTTTGAAAAAGAATAAAGTGAAATGAAAAAAAATCCAGTAACTTGTCTCAACTTTTAGTGGTTAAAAGAAAATTTCAGCTATGGCTCAAGCCTGTAATCCCAGAATGTTGGGAGGCCAAGGCTAGCAGATTACCTGAGGTCAGGAGACCAGCCTGGCCAACATGGCAAAACCTGGTCTCTACTAAAAGTACAAAAAAATGAGCCAGGCATGGTGGTGTGTGCCTGTAATCCCAGCTACTCAGGAGGCTGAGGCAAGTGAATCGCTTGAACCCGGGAGGCAGAGGCTGCAGTGAGCGGAGATCACACCCCTGCATTCCAGCCTGGGCAACATAGCTGGACTCCATCTCAAAAAAAAAAAAATTAATGCAGTTATAGGAGGCTTAACTTATTCATGTATCTACTTTATTTGCCAAAATAAAAATAGCATAATCATGTGTTCCAAGCTTTTGAAAAATAATACCTTATTAATTCTCCTAATGTTTCTGTGAAGTCATGATAAATAAATGTATTACAATCTTTTATCTTGTTGAGACACAAACACACAAAGTAATCACAGACATTGATGAGTTAGCCTATAACCATCTAATAAATCAATGAAGACCGGTAATGGAAACTAAGTTCTCTGTACTTTCCTTTTAGGGCAATAGTCACAATATTACTATACTTCCCAAGAAAAGCTGGCAAGGATAGGCCATTTCATTTTCAGTTTCCTTTTGTAAACAATCTTTTGTAGTTGACAGAAATAGACCAACCTATTCTGTAAATTTTCCATAAACATTCTCTTCATTTTCATAAGTGTAATTCTCATCCTTCTGCCCTATTTGAAATATGAATGTTCCGTATTGGTTTCTGGAAATGGGCAAATCAAGCAATGTATTGAGTAAGTT